CTGACCGAGATTGGTTATCCCAGTGCATTCATAAAGAAGTATATGTTTGCCGTAAAAAAGAAGTCGGTGGTTTCGACCGCTCAAAAGAAGCCTTTATTTATGAAGTTACAATTCAACGAAGATGTGGCCTGCGATACTCTGCAGGACAGATTAATAAGAGTAATTAATAGAACATTCAACTCCGCCAAACTTGCATTGACATTCTCCAGTCGACCAGCGATGTCTACCCAAACGAAGGATAAGTTACCTGAGTTGGCCTCCTCTATGTGCATTCACAAATTCATCTGCCCCCGTGGAGATAGCTATATAGGGCTTACTTCCAGGCAACTCAACCAACGAATGAGTGAACATCTCCCGGCATGGTTTAAGAAGGGTCAGTCTAAAATAATTCTCATTTCGATCTTAGCACACCTGGTCGGGTGATCTATCGTATACCTCAATTATTTCCCAATGGAGTTCGATCCCGTCTCCTACACATAGCAGAAGCCATAGGAATACGTACATTCAACCCCACTTTACATATTTGTAACAAATTTTTAGAACCTTATTAACTTGACTTAAAAACTGCGCAACCTCCATGATACATCCTTCTAATGCCGTTATTAATAACTAGATAATTTATTTACTTGTACTGTTGGTTTTTTTCTACAAATATATTTTGACTTGGTGTTCAAAGTACAATACACTAGTCAACTAATGCTGATTATTTTCCTACAAACATTTTCGTAACTTGATTAATATTAAATAGCTTCGTTGGTATTGTACAACTATTGGTTATTTATTTTTTACTACTTGATAGCTAATTACGGTTGAAGTATAACAACTGAATGTTTTCACGAAATCAGTTAAACAAGGACACAATTAAGAACAAATTTTGTAGAATTCCAAACTGTTTTTAATAGTACAACTAATGATAAAACAAATAAGTTTGTTGTTACATTATCATATTATAAGAATTTTTAATATAGTTGTACTTATTTTCGCTCACTTTATGTTGATTAATTGAATAACAAATTAATGAAGGTCATTATATAAGTAATTAATACATAAATATTGGGCTATTACTTGGATATATTTCATGTTTCAATAAACTGAATTCTTATTTCGTTGTATTCAACTTCTTTCTTATATATTTCTGGGTACAACGTAGAAGAAAATAGAAGAAATCATGTTTTGCTTCAGTTCTCATTGGTCTTATTTTATTAGGGAAATCTATCATATAATGAATTTGATATTTGTTAAGGTTTCAGTTTAATTATATTTTGATATACACCTACCTCAACTGTCAAACATGGATTCATGAAAGAATGTTTACTTTCGAGTTGGAGCTACGACATACTGTACAATGACACATCAATTACATACAATTGTCATTCATTTGACCAGCAGCTACATTTCTTCAACTGATCAATCTAGACACATGAATTATGATCAATATTACTTGGTTTTTACCAACAAGATATATCCAACACATCCTTCATATTCTCTCTTTGAATAGTTAGGTAGATCAAGTTCCTAGGAAATAAGGATATCAACTGAGAATTCGTTATAGTGTTGAATATATCCATTAATAATAATAAAATTTTAAAAAAACCTGATACATTTACTTTGCTACAGTTGTATACGAAATCCCAATTGTCAATGGAGATCATCTACGAACTATACTTTACGTTGCTATTGTTTTTCTTCATGATAACACTGTTATCAATGAGAATAATAATTACTTTTATATGGTCACATCTCTTTATGTATGCTTAGATATGAAGTTTGAAAATTATAATGTCAGACAAATTCTATAATCCTACTAAAACTTCAAAGTGGCCGCGAGTAAATACGGTGTTTTTGTTCTAAACTTTGAAAAACAATAACTTTCAGAGTCAACTCCGATCATTCAAAATAAATGTTAACGGAGGATTATAAGCAAGCCATCAGATTCTTAATATTTTTTTTACAGAATAAAAACATTGAAATTAGAGAGAAAATGTCGTTTAATCAGATGATAAAGTATTTTTTATCAGTGCTTCAACTAACCTTAGTTCAGAGTGAAAATTACATAGTAAATAGACAATTGCTAGCAAACTAGTTTACTTACGTATATTTGTCTACGTGACTAGTAGTAAATTTATACAAATATCACTTATATTATATGTATAGTTTTTTCTGATTATCATTTCAAAACGAGATTTCTCTTTTTTAATATAAAATATTATGACATGGATGAAATCTAATATTAATCACGATATTCCATAGGCTAATATTCGAATATGTTTGGTAATTTAAAGTAGTATACTATGAACGATTGTTTCAGATTTCGAAGAAGCAGATGTTAGTAAATAGACCTTTTTTGAAAATTTCCTAAGATCATTACTCTAAATAATTGTTTAAGAAAGGTGTATGTTGGTCCACAAACTATAGGGCAATCACCTTTATAACAGGCATGATTATTATTATTTGTATATGGCATAATCAAGTAACCCCGTTTTGGATTGATTCATATTTTAGGGTCCTGATAAATAAAAAGAAGGAAATATTAGTAATTCAAACAGGCGCTTCTGTAAGTTAAGTGGATTGATCATCATTATTGTAAAAATGAAAGGACGTTCTTGAATTTCTCCACAAACGGTTATTAGAACTGTTTTGCAACTGGTAATCGTTAGAACGCATAATGTTTCCAACATAGTAGCTAACAAAAGGAAAATAGTTGCATAGGTGTTTTTCAGGTGATTGGCCTCCAAATGCCCTGGTACGGATGTGTGGACATAGTTTATCCCCCCTCTTGGAGCGCCCTCGTAGATATACATATACTTACAGCGATATCCTGATCATTGTCTTCCCGTGGCAGTGTTGCTATCAAAAGTGAAAGGATGGAAAGCGAACATCCGGAGCTTGAACCCGATTGGTGGGTAGAGAGGATCCATATTAGGGATTCGGAGAACTTTGATTCCAAACCAACAGTGAACATCAGCTTCAGGATACTAGGGGTCAAATGATGTTTAAATATAATCTTGGTCATCTGCTATTATGGGACAGCTTCGTCTGATGTTGTTCCTCTGCCTTATGGATTGGACGTTTAGGTCACATGCCTAATATGGAAACCAACCGCTTGAGTTTGGGCATCCAAACCCTAGGCCGCAAGTAGCTATAAACATAACTATCTATAAAAATACGATTATACTCACTTCCGTTACCTGCATTTACGACCACTACAAGTATTTATTCACATAAAATTTAATGTTATTCTGCCTTATCCTATATTCCTCTTTGTTTTCATCCTGTATTTACTACTATATGATTCACACAGAAAGTCGCTTATGGTGAATATTTTGTTCTGTCTAGACTAACTCAAGTCACTGAGCACTAGAGCAGAAGTAGCATCAATCGAGTAGATCCTTATTACTAGTCAACTGTGTATTGTTAAGATAGAAAGCCCCATTAAAATGTCGTGGAAAATGGTATCTTTTTCTTATCTAGACCTACATCATGAAATTGCATCCTGCATTCAATGAAGGACGAGTTCTAACTACTGGTTAAACGATTTTCTCAAAAAAGCGAGTTCGACAGATATTATAGTACTAGCCAGAGATGTGAATGCGTACGTCAGGTGTCTAGGTACAAAGGAAAGTCGTTTAAATAGCACAAGATCTACTATACCAAAGTTACACATTTCTAAACTACAAGTGAGATGTTCAGCTAGCGTGAAGCCGACAAGTAACGACCAGCTTAAATACTGGAAAGATCGGTCATCAGACTGAATTCATCCCTAGCCATAATGTACGTAAAGATACATGTAGAGGGCCTGATGTCGAACACTAACCATTCAACATAATTTAGACCTCTTTTTCTTGGAGTGAATATGAAAGGCTAACCCGAATAGTGATCTGTCTTTTGGCTTTCTGGTACTAAATATAGGGTTTAATAAAAAGAAATGACTCCTCAGCGACCCATAGTACAAAATGTCAGTACGTTAATATAGTTGGTTAAGATTCCGTAAAACTGCTACTTTTTTGAATATTTACCAATAATTAATCTATTCATCGTTTTAAGTAATTAACTATTGAGATATCTATTTCATACTGAGTTCATTTAATATATGTTTTCGGATCCATTGATATATAGTTTTCATCGTTGACAAAGTCATTGAGAATTGAGTTTTTTTTCCAGTAGATCAATTACAACTAATATTCATCCAGTTCATTCAGTCGTCGTAAAACGACTATGAAACAGCCATAAATCATACCATTGACAAACTGATAACTACTGAGTCATTGTATTACCGATCAATTTTATTTAATATGTATACTATACACTAGTACAGTAGCATTCTAACACTCTCAGCAAGTATTCGTTTAATTTTTTTTCAACAAATTCTCATGTTCATTAGAAAAGTTATGAACAAAATTGAATTAAAGGAAAAAGCAGTGAGTATGTATATATATATATATATTTCTTAAAACTTGTGCTCATTATTTACACATGCAAATATTTAATAAATATAGATCACATATGATTTTTAAAAGGTGATATGCAAATAATTAAAAAGTTAGAAAAAGAAAGGAAAGAAAAAAAACTCAGAATTAAAATAGAAATAATAATTTACGTGGAGGATAATGAACAAATGAGCAGTTTCAATGATCAAGATTGTCAATAGTTCAAATTAAGATCATTATCATGACAATAGTTATCTCATCATTATGCAACAACAATAATAATAATAACAACAACAACAAAACAAATTAAATAATGAACAAAGTAACTAACAAGAGAAAATTATACTACATGTCTTTTTGTTGTCTATTTTTTCTTAAAGTATAATAAGGGGAAACATCATCACAAGTAGTTCATGTTTGTGCAAAATTATTTCAATACAAACAAGTTTAAATTACAAATGGGAAATTTGGTTTAGTAGAAAAAACAAAGGACGATCTTTATTAGCTAGCACATTCAACATATAATTAGACAATAATTTTTTTCTTACAAAAGAAAACACTATTTTTTATTACCGCGCATCATACCAGCATTGTATGGATTATGCCCTGTAGTTCCATTCACATTATAACTTGGTCGCATAGGTCGATTATTAAGAGCTGAATGATATGGATGATGTTGCATAGAATGTGGATTATTATATGGCATCATATTGGAATTGTTTTGATTGATATTTCCACCAGAAGGCATCATCCAATGACCCATATTTCCACTATTATTCATCTCGATAGATGGTGGACCAGCGGCAGATGAAGAAGATGACGGTGCTACACCCATATTACCATAATCCATATTAATTGGACCCCAATTTGATGGTGGCTTAAAATTTGGTGCTTTATTATGACGCTAGATAAAAATAAAACAACAAGAGAATAACATTTCATTTTACAAACATATAACCTAAACAATTGCATTGACACTCAAAGTTTTCAGTGCAAAAATAAATTGAACAGAAATAACAACATATTAGAAAATTAATCACCAAACTACTTAGATTCCTTGCTTTGATGGTCTTCATTTTAGTAAAAGGTAGTTTAAAACAAAGTCATCAATTTAAAGCTTATTTATGTTGTTAGATGAGATCAATTCAAGTTCTGTTGAAAAACAGATCGATTGGACAGAGTCAACGAATACTCAGTAACGTACATGTAAGACACTACACAAGATTGGAGCAACGACTTTCAGGTCTCGCAGCAAATACAATCACTTAAAATCGAATAATTCACAATTGTAACATGAATCAATCTACGATTTCATAGAACTGAGCTACACTGAAGAATGCATCTACGAATACAACAAACTACATGAGACGATCTTAAAACTACTCAAAAAACATAATCCTATAAGTTAAAAGCTGCTTTCTAAATTAAACATTTAGCATATTTAACAGAGTGAGAAGCAATAGTACACAAATCAAATTCCAAGTGGATTACGAATTACACAGATTGAAAACAGATGACATATCAATTATTAAATTATCACTTGCTTATCCTTCCTTCCATATAGTTGGAAAATGTACGTAAATATAAGTCGTGTGTAAAAATTACTAATCTATTAGAACATTTGCTGGCGTATATTAAATTAATGAAATATTTTTTGCCGACAATCATTACTCAGCTAGTAGATAATTTTGGATTTTAAAAAATCTGTAATGATTGCAATGGAAATAAAAAGTATGGCTCACAACATATGTTTTCACTGCTTGTTCACAACAATAGTGATACAACTGAATGCTTAAATGCTACAAACAAATACCATTAATTAGAAGTAAATTCTGATGATTTGTTTAATTTCCTTATTTAATTGAATGCATATAAAAATAAACTGATTCAGCAGTAGTTAGTGTTAAAGTATTTATTTACACTTTTAAAAGTTTATTTTAATCTGTTCATAAAAAGATATTTGACGATCTTATAACATTTAAAATAGTTAAGTTAGTTGTTTCAAAACACAAATATTTAACACTGTAGAATGGACAAAAACTAGTTGTTATTTAATAGTATTTTAAATTGTTATGACAGATTTCTACTGAGAGAAATGCACAGATAAGTAAGTACACGGCAAATGTTTTTTTTTTAAAAAAAAAATAGTACATTGATTTATATTAGTTGGGATTAGTAGTGAAAATATATTGTTTTAGTTATTTTGTTACTCACTTTGTTTATGTGCCAGTATTCCTAAAAGAGGAGATTATATAAGAGCTTTTAGTATAATAATGACTATTATTACGTTTATTATGTGCTAATCTAGTTATAGAATAAGTGATGAAATGATTATTCAGTATTTAGTTATCAACTAATACAAACACAATCGTTTATTTTTTTTTAAAAAAAAAAATCACACACACAATCATAATCTATTTCACTTCAGAGGCGTCATATTTATCTGTATTTAGTTGCCTAATTGTATTTATATTACGACACTAGACTAAGTAATAAAATAACAATAAGCTTCATTACGAAGGAATAAGCAAAAACAAGAATTTAATGTACATGGACAAGTTTCGTTGATGATAAAAATTAAGAAATAGTAAGTTTAATTGAGACTTAATAAATAAGTCTAGATCGATAAATCTAGAGCTTTCAGCTAAATTTATCATGAAAAGATTAGAGATGTAACACTCATAAGAAACAATGATTAAAACTCATATACTTGAACACGATTAATTTACAAAGTACTAATAGGGAAAATGTCACCCAAATCATGGTTAACATTTAGTAATAAACTTCACCTCTACAGTACACTATAATATAATTAATACATCAAGGAATATATTTGTAAATGCACTGAAGAACAACTGATTGGTACAATCCAATATTTCTTTGATCTTAATAGACAACATGTGTAAGCATAATAAGCCTTGATTGAACGAATCCTTGCCCAATTTCATAATGAAAATATGGTTTTAACCAGATTAATGTAACTAACAAACGGATATTAATCTGAAGCAAGGACTGTTTACATTACGGTAAAGCAAAAGCTTCTCAAGTAATTTTTTCCTGTCTAGGTTAAAAACATTTTTACATAGTTGTACACTCGAATATATTGCAACTTTAATTTCTTTAGTTGAATAAGGAGAATAGTTTGTTTCATTTCAACATGCGATTGTTAAAACAACAATTATTCTATTCTACTTGCGTATCGAGTCGAACGAATCTGAGTTATATATGTGTGCACGACATTGTAGTTGGTTAAGTTTGAATACAGAACAATCAAGTCAAGTTGTCATCTTACTCATTTGAACAAGCAAATCAAAACACAACGAAAAGTTAACTGAATGAGAATGATATTACGTAAACACGTGACAAGCAGATGGGCCGTAGTAAAAATTTTCACGGAGCAATAGGTTGATTCGAATTCATTTAGACAACGTTAGAGGTAAACAACAGTGTCAATTTATTGAGATGTGTTATTTTGACTAGATTGTACTAATTTTTGAAATAATCTCATCATTGAATATGTATATATATATATATATATATATATATATGACCTACAATTATAAAAATTTCAACAAGAATGTGTCGTGTAATTAATATCTTCTCCAATCTATGATCACTTGACTCAGTTATGAGAAAAGAATTAATTGGGCAACTAAGAATAACTTGTTTCAAAATCATTATTCTGTTTTTCTGTTAAACAAAACGTTTTATTACACTGCAGAATTGATTTCAGTAAATGTATGGGTACATATAGAAATCTCTGGAGTATTATTAAACTTCATTTACTTATTTTTAATAGTATTAAAAATAAACAGTTTTATCATTTAGTCATACTCATCTTTCAGCAATTACATAATGTATCCTGCATTTCTGTTCTCTTTGAAACCTAATACACCTGAGGAGTTAAATGTGATTACGGAAAAATTAAAAATCCTCTTTACTGAACATGTCAGTTAATAAAAGAGACATCCGGTTTAATTAACAACCAGTAGTCAAAACGAAACAATATAACATCATAAACTATCATTATTAATTGTAAGAAGTTAAACTTTGAATACTGAGAAACGCAGGATGCTGTACATGTACACAGTAATATACTTATGCATAGATGTGTATGACAACTGGAACTTTACTTTATGGAGAATAAACTAGTCAACATGGTGATTATCTGTCAGTCAGCAACAACATAGAACTTCGTACGTACGTACATCAGTTCAAGTTGCTATACCGCATTAACACAGAGATCGAATTGTTAATTCAAATCCCATAATAGTAGAGGTGGTAGCAGTTTTAGTGGTAGTGAAAAAGATTAGCGATCGAAGATATGATTCGAGAAGTATATCCAGGAGGAATTAAAAAAGGAGAAACAAATGGTCACGATGGGTTCAGAGGATTAGAATTTGAGAAAAGACAAACAATGGATGCAGCTGCGCCATTGCAAACGGTTTTACAGCAACGTCACTCAAGGTCTCTGACCACCAATTATTATCATCTCGCGGACCCCAACAAGGCAGTCTACATCTACCAACATGGCTCAATACAGTTGTCAGTGACTTCATGGACTTGTGCCATGTTTTGGTTTGGTCGCCCCTGGCTTTCTTCTAACCAACCCCAATACCAGGCATCATCGCTCACCGAAGCAGTCAGTGGTTAGGCATACATAACACATGTTCCAACCACCTCAACTGATGAAGTATTGAAACTTCGTCAGTTGACCTGCCATCCTTACCTAGTACTCGTTTCTTAACAACAGCATTGCTTACTCGATGGTCCCAGGATATACAGGCAATCCTTCGAAGGCACCTATGATCGAATACTAATACCATATGAATATACATGATGTTTATATTAAAATTCTGATATTAATGATATGAAAGAAAATAATATAATTTGTATTTACTGAATTATTCATCCCACCACGTGGGAGACGATTTGAATGACCATGTCCGCCGCCAGAATGACTGTAACTAAAAAATTAGACAAAAAGACGAGAAAATAGATCGTCACAAATATAATTGTATACAAACAAGCATGGAGAATATTACACAACTACAATAGTAGACTATCAAGTGATAGTAAAATGATTTTTAGATCAATAAGATATGTTAAGAACATTTTTCTCATCTGTTTATTAAGTAAAGTATTAATCATTTTAAGAGATAAGTGATAAAAAACATGTAGTTAAACATTTTACACAAAAAACAACTACTGCTGTGTGAAAATTGATGATAATCAGTAAACAGATTAAATATGAGAGAACAGAAGGTATAAATTAAGTATTTGGATACGAATCAAACAGTATGGGGCTCAGTTTTTAACATTCTATACATTTATAGAAGGTTATTTAAGAGTATAACTCAAAATGAGCCTTAGGTCCATTTTATATAGAATATTACAAAACGCGTAATAGGTAAACAATAAAATTTCACAAAAACAATGACACAAACCTATCAGAATTGCTACGTTGAACAGGACCTCCATGCAACATCATTCCATTTATCCCTCCTCCTAAACGAGAGAAACGCCCAGATCCAGTTTTCTTCTCAAAACGTAGAGAGCCATGTCGTACAATGTTGGGCTTTATATTAGTACCAGATACTGATCCAGTGGAGTTGAGACACTTCATACTTGTAGGAGATATAGGAATAATTTTACTTGACACATTTGAACTAGATGTAGGCACCGTGGTTAAGAATTCTGTAGGTGATGCTGGTGTATCAGTATTAGCTTTAATAAACTAATTAGATAGAAAATAATAAACAAAAATGAAATAATTAGGGTTAGGTAGAAATATAAATTTTTACACAAAGATGCATCCACTAGACAGAAATAACTAATTTTGGGAATGCTGAAGCAGACTATCGACTGTATTAAGCAAAATGTAGCTGCACCTATTTATTTATGATGAATCTTAAGAACCTAAAGTAAGTGAACAATGATTTTTAAAATTATGAGAACCTCATAAAGAAGGTTTATATTTCTATAGACAGTTCAGACCAATAATCTTAATTATGTTTTACTTACCTAATCTTATTGTAATTAGTCTTCTCATCGAAAACTACTAATATCATCTTATTATTTACTTAAACTTGAAGAAAGATTATTATTCGTTTACACTGACGGATAGAAACATCCAGTTAGTTAGTATCTTAACAGATAAAACAAATATCAATATGTTCAGTAATATTGATAAGGTTCAATATTATACTTTTATCAGGACTTCTATATAGGGGAATAATCACTCATATTTGCATATTCATGTATTTTCACTTAACCGAGAAAAAGAGCTTTTTATGAAACTATTACCAATGCACAAAAAATCATTGTACGACTGAAAAAAAAATACAAACCTCAAATGGTTCTTTGCCTTGTTTTCCATCTGAATCTGAGATAGGCTGAGTATTCGAGTGAATCATTGGAGTATCTGAATTACTTGATGTATTCCTTTCATCTTTGTCATACACTGGTTCTTTATCACTACCAACCCATACAGATTCATCATTATTATTTTCAGTAGATGTGCTTAAATCTACTTCAGAATCTGATTTACATATATTGTTTTGACCATTTTCTGCTTGATGTGGTGTAGGTGTCCCACTAAATAAAAGTTAATCCGAAATAACAAAGAATATGTAGTAATGAAAAATGAGATTAACAAAAGAATGAGATTTTTCAGGATTCATTACTATAGGAGATAGTTGTTCAAATGAAAGATATGTTAGCGAATTGAAGGTGATTCTGTGATCTAGATACATGACACATATTTATTGGCTTCTGAATAAAAGTTCACTTTATTAACTTTGAATAAATTAATTCAGTCATACAATAGGTTTGTACATTAGGTGAAGTTCAGATTATGATGCACGAACTTACATGTTCATATAGAAGTTAATCAACTTAGCTACGTTAGGTAATTAAGTTTCGTCAGTTATTAATGATATAAGGAGCTTTTAAAATGAACTAGTACGGCTGAGGGTGAAGAGAGACTGTGATACTTTTCTATGTATTAACGTTTTGTAGTCTCTTGTAAAAAAAGTCATCACTGCTTTCTATTCAGCAGGAGTATTTTGGAACAAGTAAGGACAAACTGTAGACACCCGTTGCCTAAACTATGTTGGTTGATAAAGAGAGTTCATTTACAAGCATTGAAAAAGCTTAATATCGAAAACCATATCAAACATAGGTCCAGGTTTTTGAAGAAATGGATAGCACATGAACCCCATTGTCACTGACTATTCTACCAATTTGTTGTTCAGATTTTCAATTTAAAATCTCGGAAGGCAATTCCTCAAAGGAACAATCTGTTTTGGTTTAGGCATTTTGATAATACCATACCCATCATCCAACTCACGATAATATACCATTAAAGAACTGTTAAGAGGAAAAATCAATAATGTGTTTGATATTTACATGAAATATAAAGAATCCAAGAATTATACTGATTGGATTAGTTAGATGGAAGTGGAAATGTGAACAAGAATAAACCTAACTTTATGTTGATTATTACCATGATAAAACTGAATTAAATTGCACATTTTTGTCATAATAGGAAAAAAATCTAAAGATTTAAAATGATATCACTTTTTTTGAATTATTTGTTACAAGAAATAAAACAATTAATCGCGAAAATTGACATGGTCAACATACAGTATCATGTTTTTCACTAACTAAACATAAAGTACAGATGATGATATATTTGAATCCAATGTTACTTCTATACGACAGCTCGTGTAGTATTGCTTTCAAGTATACTCTCTTATTCACTAATTGATCATAGTTGTGCAAACATAATCACTCTACAGATCTTCCATGATCGTGATGTCAAAATATTTCTTTTCGGAATACTTCTTTTTATTATTACTATAGATACTACAGTTATTTCGACAGCTTTTTGGTTATCTTGTCTCAATGTGTTGATGTTAAGTACCATAAATTTTGCTAACTCACATTTGTACAGTGACTAATTTTGTTTATAAGTCACTCACTGATTATTTATCAACACTTTTCCTCTTAAAAAGAAGTTGCACATGATATGAAAGATAGTCGTAAAATGCTACAGAATACCGCTTCAACGCACGAAATGAGAATACTTCCAGAAAAAGACTATTTTGAGAGGAAAACAAAGCTAGAATTACGAGATACTTAGTCTATAAGTCTACATCAAAACCATAAAACCAACCTTGGACAGAATTTTTCAAAAATATTGTCTCTCCACTGATCTTGAGATTCATCAACTTTTCTAGTATTACTGCGGACACAGGTTGTATGATCAGATTGTACTGAATTTATTGTGGAATCCTGAACTTCACATGAAGTGATTGCTGTCAAATCTGAACATCCAATATCGGACGAACCACTGACAACTGTTGGAGTAGATGAAGAAATGCTAGTAGTAGATTTTGCCCGTAATTTATCAACAATATCACTGATACTTTTTACTGAAGATTTACGAGGAAACTGCTGTTGTTGCTGATTCTGTTGTGACGGTTGTGGACATTGTCCTAAAACGTTTGGATTGGACTGTAGCGAAAGTGGGTGAAGAACAGATTGTGGACAGTTTTCAGTACTACCGGCCACAAAGCCTGAAACTGGATCGGACGGGATTGAAGGGTTGTCATCGTTATTGGTTCCTGGATCATTGATATTTTCATTGTAAACAGCTACATTTATTGTATCTACGCACTCGAAATTGGGATCGTTAGAACTTGGATACAAATTTTCAACAATAGTTAAACTGGATTCATCAGATTTTTCTGGAGATTGAGAACCTGATGTATCCCTGTAGGATGAGATGCTTTCTTGTATTTGCTGAGATGCGGTAGACAGCATTCCAAGTGACTTATCGCCACTCGTATCCGATAAAGGCAAATTTGGCAAACAGCCGGTGGTTGAACTTTTCTTTTTAGGGATTTTATAACCTTTAATTAAACCGGATGAAGAACCGACAACATTTACAGAAGCTGGATTTGTAGCACAAACTGAGCTAGAGGATAAGTAATTCAAGGTATTACTTTGTTGAGCAGGTTGAGATCTACTTGTGGGATTATGTGGAACACGAGATAAATTGGATGCTGTGTGCAAAGATGGACGAGGCGTTTTGCGTGTCGTAGTACTGTTAGTAAGAGGATCCGAACTAGTGGAAGGAAGTAGAGGGGAAGATATAAATGCAGAATCACCTGAGGTACCTGAATTAGAATAAGTAGACTGAGAGTTACTAGACTGCTTCGAAGTATCTGAATTGCGTTTGCGCTTGTCACTGTTTAATAATGGTGAAGCCGATGAGGGAACCAACCGCTTGGCAACAATCATATCATCACTGCCAGGGCCAATCCCAACACCAGTCACAAGTGGAGTCGAACTAACTGCAGAAATCTTCTTTTTTGATGAGGCAGAATTAGGCGACATGGACATGTAGTTATTATACAAATTAGGTGTTGGACCCGATCCTGTTTGATTGTCTTTAGGTACAACATCAGAAGTTGATGGTCGGGAAACACGGTTTATTTTTATCAGCTTCGGTATATTTGAATTGTCAGTGGTTTCTTGTAAGTGGTTATAATTATTACTATTTGGAATGAAAGAAAAATGAGTCTTCTCTGTGAAGCCATGACCTAGACGACGTTTACGTTCCTTTTTAACTAAGACAGAACCATGACCAACTAATTTATTTGTACTTTTGATTTGCTTTAAACCAGAGTTGCTAAGTACAAGGGGAGTAATTGCTGACTGACTAGGAACTCCAGAAACACCAGTAGCAACACTAGTAGTAGTAATTGGAGTATCAGAACTACTTATTGAAGAGTTGGCAAGCTGAAGCATTTGTAACATATATGCTGACGGTTTACCTTCTACGGAACGCTTTTTACGTTTTTTAACAGATGGCAATGATTGAGTATGAGGAACTGTTCCTCCAGAATCCGGTGTACTGCTAGAGGTCGGATTTGATTGAACAGACTGAATTCTGTTGTATTTATCGACTTCATTCTGACTAAAATTTACTCTCGCTTTGGGAGTTGAAGTAATTGGTTGAGATGGTATTGTTTTTATTGTCATCTTCAGACTAGTTTTACGTTCGATAGTTCGTTCCAAATTCGAGTTTGACGACATCATTGTTGTCACAGGGTAATTTGAAATTGGGTTGGTATTACTAACGGCCAAACCACCAGACTGCAATGGGTTTACAGACACACTAGATTTAGGACTAGTCAATGAAGAACCACTTGAAAATGATAAAGAATTGGAAGACGATATATTACCGACCGGGACATCGAACACTGAACCGGGGTTATCGTCGAAATCATAGACCGACTTGCTAGGGTTAGGAATTTGCATGCTATTGCTTTGCACTGTCGATGCTACCGTACTCTGTTGGACATGTGGAAGTGAAGACGAAGAGAAATTTGAATTTGTTTGATTAAAAGTAGGGCGTTGGTAGGTTCCTGATAATGAGACATTGGTAGTAGGTAAAACAGTGTCAACACGCTGGTGTTTTGTAGCTGGATAGTTAGAGTATACACAGGGAACAGGTGTATTGCCTTTTTGACTACTAATGCATTGGAAACTACCTTCTACCGTTCCTCGACGCCTTTTACGAGGTTTTTTAGGATTAAGTGCGGGATTAACCGCTAAACTACCTTGACTGTTTTTTAAGGTTGCATGTTTGGTGCGGCCAGTAGGTGTAATTAGACTGGAGTTACGAACGGAAGGGTACTGGGAATTATTTGCAGTAAGATTTGGTGCAGATGAACATAAAGATTTTCCACACTCTTGAGATAACTGTGGATTCGAACTAGAGGGTTGAGAATTATTAGATAAAATTATCCCAGGAAGTCGACTACTAGAGATGTTTACATTGCTTGCAGCTGAAGGGTGAGGGCTATTTTGAAAACTTGTTAAAGAATGGCTGGAACTGTATTGGTGACGATCTGCCGTACTGCATGGAGACATCAAAGGAATTGAAGTAGAAAGTGAATCTTCGTTTAGAAGATTGACAAGCATAGATCCGCTTGTTGATGGAGCTCTAGAGCTGTCACTAACTGGTGAAGCTGGAAGTAAGAAAAAATAATGCTTTGTTATCAGCAGTGTGAATATAGAGATAAAAACTAGAAACTTCAAAACAAATTCTATCAAAATTCGAGATTATCTTAAAAATAATTGGAAGTAAATATGATATTGACCACCCCATTACTGACACGGTTCACTTATGCAGCACGCAACCATAACCACTTCAAAACCCAAACGTAAGATCCCTAAAACCATTCGGTCATTGAATTCGAATTCAGTGACCGACAAATCGAACGTCAAGTATCTAGTGTTAACATGGTAGAGCATTGCAGGCTAAAGTATGTTTGTGGAACGCTCCACGGTGACTGTGACTGATTGATTGACTAAGTACTTAGTGAGATAATGGGAAATATCACCTAAAGTCATGAATGTTACTATCACCGACCAGAAGATAAGTTTTAATTATGTCTAACTGATACACATTGAGAGTAAATCTCAAACGAATTAATTAAAATTTCCTGATAAAATATCTGAATAGTATTCATAGCTAAAAAAATGAATTCAACAGTTTAACCGTTAAATGGTGAGTGTAATTAGTGCTCATTTAGCAAGTATCTTCAGCACAACAACTAGGCATTATATAATTGAGTGTTTAATGAAAATCATCATATTTATTAACAAACTACCTAGTTATTTCTTAACACTTTGAAAACTACAATATTAACAAAAGTATGCACATTCGTATCATTTCAACCAAAGAATCAGGTTGATTTATGTGGCTGTCAGTTTATTAATGGGCTTGCTAACGATTGAGACTAATGATTCACAAGCTTCCAAAGTGTAATCAATTTTCAGCCACTGCTAGTGATTCCAAAAGTCTCAGTGAGATCCATTTAATTTTGATAAAACATATCTTAATAAATAAGTGTACAATTAAATATATTGTTAAGAAGAAGCTTACCAGTAAAACTTTTGGATTTAGTTATGGTAGATGAACTTGTAATCTCTGAACTGGAAGCACTAATACACATAGGAGGCATATTGTATAAATTTGGAGGAATACAATTTGACCCGGATAAAACAGATGACCCATGCTTATGTGAGGAGTGAATGGTAGGTAATGAAAGATGATTTGATGTAGAAACATTGGGGTTAATCATATCGGAATACGCATCCTTCACATCCGCCAAAGAGGTAGTATGCGTCCCAGGACTAGGTGATATATAGCTCGGTAACGGGTGGGAAAAAGAAATGGGTGGGTTGCGCTGCTGGTTATGTTGTTGTGTTTGAAATGTGCTATCAACTAATAGGTCATCCAGCCTTAATCCACGAGACGAGTTAGTCGAGGCAACTGATAAATTGGGGTTAGAATGCACATCACGTAATTTGCCTTGACAGCTTACAGGTCGCAGCGATGACATAATACCAAGGTCACCTGTTAAGGATATGTTTAACGACAAAAATATTTTAAACCATAATTATGCAGGAACATCTAGAGATAATACATAGCGAAATAATGGGTTTTATTATAAAAATACAGACAGTGACTGATACACTTTCAAGGATAGAAATACAGAGGATAAACAACTAACAACTCCTGAAAGTTATAAATTTCACAGAATGTCTAGACTGATACGTAAATTTCGGCCCAAACTATTATTCTGTCATTCTTCCGCCACCAGTAATCTTGACCTTGCGTAAAACATGAGTTTTCAATGACCCTGTTAGTATTGAGGGAGAGAATGTGGAAATAATTCGCCTTGTAAACTCAAACTATTTTATAATAATCGAGCTAATATGATATCGTTTTGTCTTCACGGAGTTTTGTTTCGATGTAATTCATATTCTACGTCGTACTAATTTGTTCTTTATCTTAAACAAGAGCTCATTTATTTTGAAAGCTTCATTCAAGCAATTAAAATTACCAAATATTTGTCTTATGTAAGTAATCATCAAATAAATCAACTACTGTAGCTAATTATAAAACACAGGTGTCATCTTGAACGTTCTTACTGTAATGAAGACTGGAAAAAATCTACGGTACCACCAGTTAACCTTGATACCTCTGAAACTTAGCCTCTATTGAATAAGGATATTTGAAGATTCATCACGCTTAAACTTTTTAGTATCTGAAAGATTGGTCATATGAGAAAGAAATACAACATTATTAATACTAAGGTCTGAAAACTTCTGTTTCGGTATAATAGAGACCACAATACAATAAGTGAAGTCAACTTGAATCACACCCCTTGGAGGAGCTTTGGACTTTACTTTATTATGGTTACATGCATTCACTAAGAATTTGGAAATTAAGTGCTAAGTGCTTTTTCATAAAATATAGACCACCATTTTTACTCACATTTTCTTCATTGAATGGCTTCTGCAAGAACAAGACGCCACTACACCAAAATGCATCCATAAAAAGATATAGTGAAAAGCTTCTAACACCTTACTTAGCATATATATATATATATATATATATATATATATATATATATATTGCTATTTCGCTTTCGTTCTAGTTGCTATTTTTAAACTCATAAATGTCATGAAAGGCAACAGCAGTAACAAACCTGAGTTTGCATCCAAATGGGTAAACGCTGGAGGTGGCGTGGCCATGACACCTGGGGGTAAAGGAGGTATCTTTTTAGCAACATTCAAGTAGTTCGGTGTATTTAAAGCAAATACTTGCGCTGCAGCGAATGATGAAGAGGATTCAAAATCTAATGAAGTTTTTCTATCACCACCACATAGTACACCACCAGTACCGTTAGCGCCACGGATTATAATCGACGATTTAACACGATTAAGCATTGCCCTTAAAGAAGACAATTGATTTTGATTGACTGATGAATAACTTTCTTTATTCTCAGTACTTTTATATGCACTAGTTATAGGCAATTTCATGCTTACTAACTGTTTGTGAACAGGACATTGGAGTTGAGTAAGTAACCAGACGAAACCAATCGGTAATGTGTGTGTTTTTGTGAGAATTTTGCTGAAGTTAGCTTTGAGATCACCTTCAGACTCTATGTCTGGTTTATTCAGTGACATGGCGTTTACTTCGTGATCATTACTTGGACAATTACTATTCAAGCGATCGTGTGTATTTGAAGAATTCAATTCCAGACACTGAACATCGAATGGACGCACATGTAAGGAGGCTAGAAAATAAATAAGACAGTGATTAATTACATCATACGACAAAATTGTTCAAACAAAATCAGTTGTTAAGTACTTGACTCATGATATATAAAGCTACCAAAAATATGTTAGTTTGGTCACTAATTTCAAAAATTAACGTTTGTGAAGATATCACTCTTAATGATTCCTTAATATTTTTTAAGCGCAAGACAAAAGTTAACATGTGTCCGAATTAAACATTACGCTTAAGTATGACTTCAAGCTTGAAAACAACTTTATTAGTATATTCGCTAGAAATGGTTTGATTATCAAAATCCTGTTGTATCATCTAATGTGTTGTTATTTATTTCTCGTAGTTTTGAATTGGTTATGTTTTCTGACAAAATTTCTCTATGCTATAGATTCTCCATAGTGTTACAAATGACGATTTTCTCTTAAGGGTTAATTGCTGCCTGAATATGTCACATTTAGTCCTGAGAGTATAAGTGAACCAAATGTTTCCCTTCCCATCTTCTGTGCTAAATATGAAGTACATTACACCTTTAATTTCTATCACAACAGTCTTGATAGTTTGTATTTATGGTATATCATCATTATCTTGGAAGGACCGCTTACCATGAATTTTCGCTCCATGACGATTGGGGTCATCGAACTCTAGTGAAATCATCTGACCAGCCATGATTTTAATATTAAACGTGAATGTCAAGGCGGCATCTGTAAGAAACCAAAACAAACCATAATGTGTATATTAAGAGTGTCTAAACATCGAAATAACTTTATATAATAATTCAAACTGCTAAATATTCAACGGTTGACTACTCCAACATGTAATCTCGACCAACATAAGAGTAAGTTGGAGGAAAGCCAGTAATCTATAAATCCAGATATGATTTGAGCAATGTTGGAAGGTGAAAACTTCCTGATTGGGTCACAACTAATACTCAAAATCACTGGTTGGAGAAGTTTGGCAGTCAGTCAGTCAGTCAATTAGTTACAACCTAGAACTTCGTACTTATGTACATAACTTCATGTTGCCATACCACATTAGCAATTGTCAATTCAAATACCATAGTCGTAAAGATAGCAGAAGTATTAGCAGTAATGAAGATTAGGGTTCGAAAAAATTGTCCAAGCAGTATAATTCAGTGAGATAAGTTTAGAAAGAGAAAGATAGAAGTGATGACAAATTCAAAAGATTAGAATTTCAGAGCTTGGCAATATCTATGAAATCTATCAAATCAACAAGGTTGCTTCATTCTTTCTAGATGAATCTAAAGTTACGTATCATTCCTAAATTTTAATCTTTCGATTGCAACTAGTTAATTTGAACTCCATTTCCCATATTTAAATCTCCATCGCTTTCGATATTATTTCCCAACCTATGCTTCCTGTCTTTAATTTCTTCTCGCTATGGTGATGTAAAATATAGCAACTGAGAGGCCAGCACAAACTTATATCACTTCCCATGTTAACAAAGACTAATTGACTGCCTAAATATTTTGAGATATTTTACTCGAAGTAATAAAACTAGTGATTCTAATCGTTTTAATGACCTCATTCAGGAGATTTAGATATCCGTAAATGCAACATATTAACACTCAGTCGTTAGGCATTTTCAACCCTACGGACCATTGCCGTCATAATATCGAAAGTTTCGAAACAAATACCAGATGGTTTTTGGTCACAGTTACTTGAATACATTTCCATTCACATACGTCAGTTACCATATAAAATTTAATATTTATTACGATCATAAAAATCCCTAGCATCTAAAGTTGGGTCGTGCACGGTAAACAGTTACGTGAACCCACCTTTTTCCACTGGTTTATCAGGATGAACAATAAATGTTTCGTAAAATGCTAAGGCTGAGGCTTGCTTACGAAGAATAGAAATAATCTCACCAATTTGATCTGAACATGTAAATGGAACTGAACTGACAAGATAGGCTTTGACATCACTCTTAATTTGATAACTATGTTGTGTAATATTCGGATTTTGCTAAATAAAGTTCAACGATAAAAGTAAAATTAGAGTTGATTTACTGAACTAAAATAAAACAATATAAATTAATTATTATTTGTATACAAAACTTTATTAATACTAAAGATCAAAATAAATATTAATTAACATGGTTTTCATAAATACATCAAATATAAAATCACCAAATGTACATAAATTAAAATTAGGTTATTTTATTTCTTATCTTACTGTTAAATCAAATGACAAGAATCTTAACGTAACCTCATAAACTAAGTAAGAGGAAATGCAAAATAAAGTAGATTCAGTTCAGTTTACAACATGTAACTCAATGTTTGAAAGCTGAACCTTTTGACTACCAAGCCACATCGTCGAGTAACGATAGACATCAATATCATATAGGAATATAGCAGTATTATTTAAATGACAAGAAAACCAAATGAAAATTGAACAAAACACATGTGATTATGATAGTGAGCAGATTTACCATAGTTTTGAATTCTTTTACTGATTTATTTCAGATGACGAACCATTATTAAGTTTAACAGATACTTTTTCTATTTACAACGATTCACAATCACATTTAATATTACGGAATCAGTGAAATTATTTTACAAGCATCACCTTACTTTCTTTTCAGTCAAAACTTTATGTACAATTTAACCCAAATATCTATTCTGTTATCATGTAAACAATTGGTAAGGAAAATAATTATATTAGGTGTATTCAAAAAAGTTGCATAAACGTTAACTTACTAAGTGAGTATTTATTCCATATAAATGTTCCTGTTTATGTTTCCGTAAAATCAACAAAACTATATCTTCTTCTTTCTGATCTGTGATCTCTGTATTACTTAGACCTTTACATTGAAAAATAAAGCACAAATAATCAAATATTTCTTATAATATCGTATTTAAATTTCTACTGATACACACACAAGCTTCTAGCTGCATTTGAGAGCACTGAATAGGAGTTTTTGGCAGTGGCTGTATACGCGTAAACAAATGATAGCGTTTCGAGAAGAAAAGTGGACTCTATATACTTTAGGTCATACTATGATAATGATTACACTATTTGATTCATTCTCACATTTGAAATCACGAACTGATCTTAACTAGGCCACCACTAGAAACATGGGAGTACTGTGGAGCCATTTAGTCTTAGTATGAGGCTCCTCAGATGTACGCATCCACGACCCCCGAAGATGGGAATCGAGCCCAGGACCTTCGGCGTTGCGAACGGACGCTTAACCTAGAGACCATTGGGTCGGCACCCAACAGTGTTAATGTCTAACTACAATCAATCCATGACGTTGTGCAACTTTCATCCATTGTCTGAGGCGGATAACTATTTTCCATCAGAATCCGATTGAACTCAACTGGTCACAACTCACTAGAATTCCAGTAATACCTCTTGAAGTAGTCTCTAGTGAGCAAAAGATTGCTACCAATGAAAAAGATTTGTGAAGATTTTATTATTTTCATGGTTGATTTAGCGTACCAAGCTTAAATATTGCTTTGCAACACATGATAGTTATAGAATTTACACTGTTGTGATTCCCTGAAATTTATCTGACACATTTTTTAGGGAAACAGTCAGTCAGTTGCAACGTAGAACTTCGTTCGTATGTACATAAGTTCATGTTGCCATACCACATTATTAGCAAAGAAACGCAAATGTCAAATCAAATCCCATAGTGATAAAGATAGTATAGGTATTAATGTTATAATAAAGAAGACTAGGGTTTAAGATATTATTCAAAAAAATATAATTCAGTGAGATAAGGTTAGAAAGACAAAGGTAGAGGTGCTGGCTAATCCAGAAGATTAGGATTTGAGAGAGCTCAAAGAGTGGATGCACCTGCGCCACTGCAAACGATTTTGAGCCATGTCGTTCAAGGTCTCTAACCATTGATGACTTTCGTCTCGCGGACCCCAACCAGGTAGTCTACATCTACCAACATGACTCAGTCCACTTGTCAGTGACTTCATGGATCTATGCCATGTTTTGGTCTGGCCGCCCCTAACTTTCTTCCAACCTACTCCTACGCCACAAAACATAGCTCGTCGAGGCAGTCGGTGGTTAGGCATACGTAACACATGTCCCAACCACCTCAACTGATGAAGTTTCACCACTTCATCGATTGATCTGCCATCCTTACCTAGTACTCGTTTCCTAACGACACCATTGCTTACTCGGCTGTCCCACGATATACGAGCAATGCTTCTTAAACATCTACGATCGAATACTAGTAACCTACGAACATCTTCTACTCTTAACAGCCATGTTTCACAGCCATATAAGAGAACGGAACGAACTGCTGCGCAGTACACCCGCCCTTTGGTTAGCGAACGGATACCACGCCTACGCCATAAGTGACGCAGGTTGGCAAAGGACAATCGAGCTTTCTGTATCCGAGCTGAGATTTCGTCAGTCACCAGACCGTCAGCACTGATGAGACTCCCCAGATAAGTGAAGTGATCTACACGCTCAACTACTTCACTCCCTATCACTAGTTCAGGTGCCGATGCAACCCAGTCTTGAAGCAACATTTTGCATTTCGAGGGGGAAAACCGCATCCCGAACATGCTAGCATTGTTGCTTATGGTAGTCAGAAAACTCTGCATTTTGTCAGCGTCTTCACCGAATAGAACTATGTCATCGGCATATTCTGGATCAGTAAGCGACTTTCCTGGTAGAAGGTCAACCCCTGAAAAATCTGACGAGCTTAATGTTAACTCTAAGAAGATGTCTACGACAAAGTTGAACAAGAATGGAGAGAGTGGACAGCCCTGACGGACACCACTTGATGTAGAGAATTCAGATGACAGTTCGCCATATGCTCTCACCCGACCAGTGGTGTTCGAGTAGAGTGCTTGTATAAGGTTAATGTACTTCTTTGGTACACCTTTCAATGACAGACACTGCCACAGAACCTCACGATCCACATTCAAATGCTGCCTTAAGGTCCAGGAAGACAACTATTGTAGGACGCCTAAATGTGTGTCTGTGTTCCAGGACCTGTCGTAGTGTGAAGATGTGGTCTATACAACCACGTCCAGGTCGAAAACCAGACTGGTTTTCTCGAGTCTGCTCTTCACGAGCTCTAGTTAGACGTCTAAGTATAATCGATGCTAACAATTTAGAAACTATATTAGTTAAACTTATTCCCCTGTGATTGTCACAAGAGGACTTCTGTCCTTTCTTGTAGATTGGGACAATTAGCGACTGAGACCAGTCAGATGGGATTACGTCCACTTCCCAGATTCTACCTAGGATCTCGGTCAGTCTAACCGTTAAAACTGGACCACCATCCTTAAACATCTCAGGGGTAAGCCTATCGGGACCTGCCGCTCTACCTCTCCTTAGATTTCCTATAGCTTTCTCAACTTCATGTAAACTGGGAGGACTTAAATCGATTTGCCATTCAGGATGACTGGAGATCGTGGGCAACCGAAGTGTGGCTGAAGGCCAGTTGCACTGATCCCTAAAGTGTTCTGCCCATCGGTCCAGCCTCCTAGATTGAGAATGGATAATAAGACCATCCTTTTCCGAGATAGTCTCACTCACATTCGGGTTCTTAATACCGGTTTCTTTGATAAGGCGGAAAAGTTGTCTAGTGTTGCCTATCGCCGCTGCCTTTTCCATCGCTTTTGCTTTCGCCACCCACCACTGTTCACGGTCGTTACGTAGGCTTTTTATAAGTCTGCACCTCAGCTGACTACGCTCTCCATCATGTTCAGAGTCAGGTGGGATGCGTTTTCGAGCATCCATCAGTTCGGTGGATGCGACTGAAATCCACTGCTTCATCCTAGCATTGTGGTTTACCTTGCTAGCAGATACCATTGCTGTTTCCACAGCCTTCTTGATATGATTCCAACCTGCTTCAGGATGGGGATCACTTGCATGGCCACCTAACTGTTTTTCTAGTTCCTCCTGAAATATTTTCTTAGCTTGATTATCATCAAGTAAAGCCCTAAGAGGCTTCCTTACGGTGTCTTTCCTACGTCCAGCAAGCAGGCTCAAACAAATACGTGCTCGCACTAGGGCATGATCTGAATCTAAACATGTGCCCCAGAACGAGCGACAGTCCTCTATCGAACCCCTCCATCGGTGGCTGATGGCGATATGATCTAGTTGTGTCCAACGTTGAGACGACTTCGGGGGTCGCCAGGTCAAAAGGTGTTTTTCCTTATGCTTAAAATTAGTGTTTGCTAGAAATAGTTGGTTATCTGAGCACAGTTGCAACAGACGGTCGCCATTGTCTGTTCTTTGAGCCGCGAGACCGTAACATCCACCTAGGTGTCTTTCATTTTCACTTAGTCTACTTACTTGTGCATTGAAGTCACCAGCCATTATAACTATATCAGAGCGCTTAACTTTTTGGAGGAGGTCCGAAAGCTTTCTGTAAAACTCATCTTTTACATCATCTGGGCTGCAGTCAGTGGGGGCGTAGGCTGATATGACGAAGAGGCAACGGCGAGTCCTTACTGTCCCGTTCAGTCGGACGGCGCACAAGCGACTATCTACAGGGATCCAGTCAAGGAGAGATTGTTCTGCCCTACGACTCAATGCAATACCTACACCGGCGAGGCCCCTAGAAGCAGCATCAGGGCTACCGGATACACGAAGGGTAAATCGAGCTGCTTCTTTATCTTGACATGGTGAGGTCAAATGAGTGATGCTACTCGGATCCTGTATGCGCGTTTCCGAGACGCAGCATACATCGATTGAGCGAGATTCTAAAGTCCTAGCTAAGGAAGCCTGTTGCCCTATTTGACACAATGTCGGTACATTGAATGCTCCAACATGTAGTCTAGAGCGAGGTTTAAGGAGACCAGGAACGACCTTTCGCGAACTCGTATCGTCTGCATTAGCTGTGCACTGTAATAAATGAATGTGAGAAGAGTTAGTTGTGGAGATAAGAGAGGTATTAGGGAATGTAGGAAGGATTTGATTTTGAACAATTTTGTCTCGTGTGCTGTTGCGGGTATGAGGGCGGTTATCACTTCCTGGCTGCCCATACCGTGGAAGGTTGTTTCTTGACGAACCTGAAAAGGAAGATGGATTAGTGTTGGTGCGTGACCGCAGAGTCCAAGGGACAACTGCTTGAGGCCGGTCACGCACGGCCTTTTTATGAGGTATTTAGAGGATTAGCTCCGTTCTTAAAGGCCCTTAGTGGGCACCCTTACCCAAGGAGACGGAAATCCGTGAGGTAGGGGAGGTGTGACATTTTTAGGGCCGACCTTTTCTAACCCTTCCTTCCTTGTGAGAAGGCAGCATCGCTGCAGATGCTGGTTGTCCGAGGGAAACACCTTACTGCTGTCACACCCCTCTGCAGTCAGCAGTACGACTTCGCCCTCAGACCTTGGGTAGCTGCTTTTAGTCTCATCGTTCTCCAATCGACCAGCCTGGCATGGTAGGACCTGCAGGAACATGTGTTCCAGCCAGTATAGCTCGGTTGGGTCATCACGATAGGCAAGCCCGACCACCACGTCAAGGTAGCAGCTTCGGTCAGGTTTTAGGGAAACAGTGAAAACATGTACAAAAAGAAGTGGTTTACCTGTAGTACGCTCAAGTTGTTGAATTGCATCCGTTGAAATTGGTAAAGGAGGATCTAAATGTAATACGAATTCAGCCTCAATCGATATACACTTGATTTCATCTGGTTGAGCGAAATGAGGGACACTGAATATATTAATGGCAGGAGAATAAGTATGAATGAGTGAGAACATAAATTAAACAAATTTAAGGATCAATGAAATTCTTGAACGATACATGTAACTATATCAACATTATTAAAATAGTGTGGACTGAAAACAAAAGAACATCAATATGAATCTGCAGTTATAGTATAATTTCACCATAATATGAAAAAAAGTATGCATAAATTATGAGTATAAATCCAGTTGCTGAAAGGAAGCGAAACCCACAACCGGCGACTAAGCAAAAAATATAAATTCAGCCGATTTTGAGGTATTTTGTACTAGCCAAGTTCAATAGAAAGGACCACAGTTTTATAATAGACATAAGGTGAGAAACAACCCGACCTATTTGCATTTTAGCTTTACAAAAAAAGAACTGCTTTATTTTCATTTAAAACAAAATAGACAAGAAAAGACAGGAATCAATGACACCACAAAAAGGATTACTGTTTCTTATTGATTGATCTAGATAAATAAAAAGTATTTAAATTATGAAAATATCATAAGCGTTGAATTTCATGAAAGCTCTTAAGTTAAAAGTAGACACAGTAATTTGTGTTACTGTAAAAGTAAAATTCATTTGTGGTTCAAATAAGTTATTAATTCTTTATTTAAAAAACAAAAGGTAATGATTAACACAGTTAATTACTCACCTTATACCATACGCATCTTTCTGTAGTGTTACTAAAGGCATAAATGGAAGCCTTTGAACTGTAGACTGAGCTACTGCAGAACTATCATCCACATACGACAACCTAGGACAAAGACCGATGCGCGCCATATAACCTCCAATAAGACCATCACGAGAACCACATCCAATACTAGTTGAATATGTACTTTTTGAATTCACTTGTAAATTATTTTTTATCACTCCAGTCGCATTACCAATCATAGCCTGTGCTGATGTGACTAAGTAAGTGAGTCTAGCGAGTCGACCTCCTGTACGTCCAACAAAATGTCCAACAAGTGAACGGTTTACTAGATCACGCATACTAAATACATCATGTTTCTGGTTAGGTGCTCGCCTGAATGTACTTATGGCATCGATATTATTTTCCAAGTCGGTTCTCATTGCTTGAGTCAGCATGCTCAAATCTTTCTCAAGAGCCTGTAAACACAAGTACGTTCGAGCACGATCAATCCTTAGAAAAGAATTAGAAAAGAAACAAATAAACCTTTTAATTGACAAAAATATCAAGATTACAGGAATGAAGGAATAGCTGATTTAACTAAGTAATCACGTAAAGGTTCGCAGTATTTGTTTTACATACATATACTGAAGTTTGGTAGTATAGTACTAACAATTTATTTTTAAAGGGCTATAATTAGAACACTGACACTCTATTTTTAGTTCTATTCGTTTCCAAAACACAAAGAGAATGTTAAGTACAGTAATTAAAAATAAATACTTGTCTAAGGAAAACAGACCAACCAGCGCGACTTATAAAATAAGTCATAAGTAACATTCAAATTGGTAGCAAATGGATAATACCACTTTACTGCTGAATAATTTAAACGTAAAAATGATAGGAAACACTTAGCCGGTAGGCGTTGATTAGTGAAATTCGATATAGTAAATTTGTTAATTACTTAAAATAACTGGTTAGGTTATTATTGCAAAGTTTCGAACCATCCATTTTGTACATAAACAAGCAAATGGACTGTAAACCTAAGATTTACAGAACGGAAATTGCATACTGAAACTACCGAGCCAAAATATTATGCCATGAATGTTGACATTCACGAAACAAGCATTACGTTTATAAATATACCACTGTCATAAATATGGGGACTATAATATCAAAGGAATTCAGAATCTCCAGGAGTTTATCTTTATTCACTAACTGGAAACTGCAATCTCCACTAAATTATACTTAATAACGAAGCTTCTCAAGAGAGATGTTATGGAGATCAGACCAGGCAATGAAATATTCATTTCGACACATCCTACATTAACGAAATGTGTCGTAGTTATGACAAATCAATAGTGTGGAATAAAAACTAATGCAATAACTCGCACAAAACGATAAGAAACACTAAGGAGCTAGTTGATTCATTTCAAATCTAGTTCACATATATTATTTAGTTACTAGATTATGTATGGCTCCATGAAACAAATGAGAACTCGAATTCTTATTAAAAATAACAAAATAACTTACTTATCACCCGGAACGGCATATATCGTTAGTAGATTATCTACATGCTGAAGTAACGAACTATATTTGCCCATACTGAGATCAGTGGCCAGCTCCGGACAAGGCTGTGTGAATAAAATTAACGCTCTATAGAAATCGTCATGACAAACAGTAAGATACGCTTTGATTTTTAAAAAAATCAACATTCGTAATTTATATCCTTGTGTCTAATAGGTAGATTTTAAATCATTTATTCAGATGCAATCAGTCAGTCAAAAACAACTTAGAACTTGGTACGGTTGTACATTGGTTCACTTTGTCACGCCGCGCTGGGACATCGAGATAAAATTGTTACGACAAATCCCAGAGTAGAAACGTAGAACCAATACTAACGGTAATCGAAAGGATTAGGCACCAAAGATAGGATTCGAGAAAATATAAATCAGTGAAATAGAAAGAATATGAGGGATCTCTAAACCCAATATCTAAGAGAAGATAGAATGGATGCCCATTCGCCATTGAAAACGATTTTGAATCATTTTCTTATTATCTCTAATCACTGGATAAGATAATCTCGTAGACACAAAGCAGATAGTTTATGTCTGTTAACATGACCAGTTTAACAATCAATGACCTCATAAATTAGTGCCACATTTCGATTTTACCACCCTTTGTCTTCTTTTAACCTACTCCTACACCAGATAACACCCGAGGTAGGTAATGGACGAGCATATGTAGCACACGTCTGAAACACCTTAGTTAGTGAAGATTTACTACCTCATCAATCGGTTTGATATCTCTATTTATTACTCTATTTCTAACACTGGCATCGCTTACTTAGTGGTCTAAAATACAAGAGTGGTGCGTTGAAGACAACTGTGATCGAATACTGGTAACCTACAAATGCTTTTTATTCCCAGTGACCATGTTTCACACCTATAGAGTAAAACAGAGAGAGCTGTGCAGTAAACTCGCTCTTTGGTTAGCAGATAGATGTCTTACCTAAGCCATGAGTGATCCAAGTTGGAAAAGCCAGTCGGCCTTTCTTAATCCGTCACCAGATCTCACTAGACATCAACCTAAAGAGGCTGGTGAAATTCTCCAGATATGTGAAGTAGTCACTACGCTTCGCTTCCTATCATTAATTTATGCAGTGACGTGGGAAAGTCCTAGAGTAGCATTTTAAATCTGGAGGGGGGAGATAATCTACATTTAAAGAACTTCTGAAGCAGACTTTCACTTTCGTGAAATGTGATAAACTACACACTAAGTAGATGTTATTTCCAATAAATTATATTTCATGACCAATATATGGGTCTACTTATTTATTCATGGACATACGATCTGGAACAAGTATATCGATCCGCGTTTCAAATCAGTATGGCATGTAGTGTCCCCAAAAATATGTTACGATTATCCTTCCAAGTAACCAGGTCTAAACGGCTAATACTAACAGTTGATAACTATACAGATTAAAGTTGTATCTTAGCTTGAATTTTCTCAACGTTATTTAATCCTGATGCTTGTAAGTGTAGCCCATTTGAATAGTGATAGCTAGGACCCAATCAACCATTAACAAAGGACGATTCGATGTTGGTCTACATTACCGTACATCAAAGTAGCGCAGCAAAAAAAATTAACAAGCCAAGCGAGTTTGTTGTACTCGTACTCAACTGAAAATCCATATAGGAGACCACTAAACTAAGCGGATTAGTTATGCTTAACTATTACATTATCTACTATTAGGTCCATTATAACTATGTATATACCCTGAAGAAAAACACATGGATTTTGCAATACAAGAAACATTCTAAATATTTTGAGTAGTCATCAAAGGTACTTATGGAACTGGAAGTCAGCAAATTAATCAAATGGAACTGTTACCTGTTTACTCAAAATCAGACAGATTTTTCAGAAAAGATATCTAATCACGAGAAACTAGACGATATGTTACCTTTAAAACCATATTTATGATTAAACTTGGTTAAAATGGAGAAGTGGAATGTCTCAATGAACTTTAACGTAAACAATTTAGATGATCACTCGTCGAGAGTTGAGATCCAACCACTAATATGCAGATAAATAACCTTTAATAGCTGCATGTACAACCTAGATACTTTTCAATAAAGTTATAATGAGACCTCTTGATAAAAAAAAGTTGAATACCGCTTTGGTGTCGACAATACAATTAAATTTACACCTCCTTGTTCCAATATTCTAAAGGCTGAGGAAGTGTAAAGGCTTAATCAAAGAACTATATTTACTTATTTCGGGAAACAACTTGGAGGATTTCATGTTATTTGCAATTTGAGTAGAACCCACAGAAACAAAGACCCGAATTATGGTTTATAAAAGGTAGCAGAGATGTAAATATATTCATTATCCAGTCTACTTTAAATATCGGACACAGCATCATTTTGTGATTGCGGATCCTTTATTTTATCACCAAAAAAGTAACTATAACTTTTTGGATATATCTTAAGGGGTAGAAATTTGTATAGGTCGTAATAGTGCAGGTTAATTTACCCTCTCCTCTAGGTTTTCAGATTTGATATTGATCTGTTTTTCATTTTGCGAATTCGTCCAGTTTCGAACCCTGCTCCATAGTGTCTAATTTTTCAGTTAAGTGATGGGATAGAAAATTCTTGACTACGCAGCTCATTTTTCGATATCATGGTTAGAGAAATACACGACTGAAATCAAATATTTTTCTATTGCTGTAAATTTCGAGTCTTACTATAAACCGTCACAGAAAGCAATAAACGATAAAACCAGTACGAACTTATATGATAAATGTGTCTATATAAGTTGCTAAGAATAAATTTATTGCTCACGAAAACCCTTTTTCCCCATCATTACCCAAGGCCAAATCCTCGGAAACTGGTATACATACATAAATCCATTAGGCAGAGTGAAGTTTAAACTTTCAGTTTTAACGTCACTTAATATGGCACAGAACAAAATTTCGTTATTCTACAGTCTATTATTTAAGTGTAACTTGGTGGCAAATCGCAAGAAAAGTATGGAAAAATATGTAAAAAGATCCACATATGATTTCGAGTGCTATTTATTTAAGTCTCCTAACGAACAGATACCAAGCTACTGAAACGGGACAGCTCTGAAGCTCATAAACCTGGAGCCTTCAAATTGTTCAAAATTACTGATTCTATAAGCAGACACTACGTACCCCTATAATTCAGGATAAGTATAGCACAAGAAAACCTTTGATTTAATAATATACTCACCACAGCTTTATCATGATTAAACTCAAAATAAACTGCGGCAATTGAAATTAAGTCTGTCAGTTCTGGTGAGTTATTATAAGTCGAATCGGAGGTTGTGATAGAGTTATTCGTTGCAGCAACTATGACTGCAAAACACTCAGAAGTTAATCTCCACACCAAGGCTCCGGCTGATGTTCCTCCACCCGAACAAGGACCTGAAGATAACTGAAGGCCACAATGTACAGCGATTCTTTGTAAATGGTTGAGGAATGTGGAGTACCGAATCAAATACGGTCCAGTGCGAATATTTTTCGAACCTGAGTGAATTTTATCCGCACGAACAGAAGCAAGAAAATCCAGGTAATTTAAATCGTTTGAAAACTTGGCGATGTCATTCATTGGCAATTATATATCCTAATTGTAATGATATCTTAGATAATATCGATGGAAACCATATGTAGACACAGATTTCAAAAAGATCGCCTCACACAATATTTTAATATTTTACTTCAAGTTTATCAGTTCAAAAATTGATCGTTCTCGATTTAATTGCTTATGTTCCATAAGCAATGAATGCGTCTATTGTACAATCAAATATTTTGAGTTGTGTTTAAGTCTGATGTATTATTACTGCGCACTTCAAACCAGATTTGTTTAGTGACTTAATGAAATTCAAAGTATATTGGAATTACTCTTCTTCCGTTAGAACATTTCAGATTTTCATCTGACCTCGCTGGAAAATAGAATAAAACAACTTTGTGAAATTTTCTATCATTGTTTCTCCACAGCAGTTCGTTTATTAAAATTCTCTAGATGCTTGGTGCTTGTCGCATAGCCTCAAGGAAGGTTGCGTTTCAGCCAATTCCATAATTATAACTGGTATATAAGCTAATAATTTGTTAAGGAACCCTCCATGTGAGAGAAAAACATTGTACTTTAATTTAACATGCCTAGAAATTTACTGAAACACGTGAACGAGCAAAGTTCAACAAAGTAGTTTGTGCTGAAACAACGACAGATTTCATAACCTGACTTCAAACAGGCTTTTCAGTGTCACTGCGTAAAAGGGCATCAAATCTAACTACGAGATCGCCTGATTGCTAGCATAAATGATCTTGAACCGGAGAAGTAGCTGATATAGATTCACTATTACACTACCTAGATGATGGGATACTTTTTTGTTAAAGATGATGTTCATAATAATCCACATTATGTTACAAAGCAACATGAATTCCTAAAATTAAATGCTGAACGATAACCCTGTCAAAAGAATATGAGAGGAACCATATCTGTTCGCAGTCTAGTTTTTAAAATCTGAACTGTTCAAACATAAATTATATTGGAAAACGACGTCTATATTATCTGCAACTAATGGAGTCTAGTGTCATAAAAGCACTGCTGGATAGGATTTTGAGAGTTTATATTACGAAAGTAATAAGGCTTGGTAAGTGTGGTGGATGCGAGTGTCAACTAAAAGAGATGTTGTAGATAGTAAGTAGCTAAGTGTGTACTAGACAAAAACACACAGTCTTGGAAATACAACAACATGAAAATGCCCTAGCTAACTTTAATGACAAATAAATTGGGTCCTGATATAGTCGTTGTCACAGAAACGTAATTAGTCGTAGATATGAACTGTTCTCCGATCGTTGCGTGATACGCCTTTAACAAACGTAATATGGTCAAAAGTTTCAGGGTAGTAGGCATAATTTCACGTGTGACAGTTAACTTCTGTTTTCATTGGGGCACATCAGATGCATATGATAGTGGTACATGTGAGACTGTTTGTTGTATGATAAAGTCTGGACATGTGTTAGTGACCATGCTGTCTTGCTGTCGACTTTATTCTTAGCCATATCCGAACTAAGAGTAAGGTTGACAGTTGTCTTATAGATGGAGATTTCAGCATACCGCACAACATTTCAATATAGCTTACAACCTCAGGTGGATTTTTCAACACCAGCCTTCGATCAACTATTATCCAATGTACCCTCGTGCAATGCACAGCAAAACCGACACATATTTACTCAGGACATGAATCATTACTGCTCGACTTTCTTTTTACACACCACATTGATGATACCATCACCATCTAGTACCTACCACCAGTAGCAAATCTGCTCTAGTTTTCAGGCATAATACAGATACATAATTTTTCTGCCCCTTCTTGTCCCAATATCTTGTGTGCTAATATCGGGCAGCGGTTATTCTATCTCAATAGATTGGTCGTTCGAAGTTGAATGGGATAAGCCTCTAGTCACATTCGGTTCAGTAGCATCTCCGTTCATCTCATGGTCAACAAATAAGCCTTCAGATTGCCCCTGACGGATAGCTAGGTACACCGGAAGATTGCTGTAGTGTTGAAAATAATTCTGGGTTTTGTTCTTTTCGGTGGGCTAATGCATGAAAATTAGGACAATATGTTAAAGGCCGCAGCGAAAAGCCTCAGAACTTTCGAAAGACAGTTGGCAAACTATAGCCATAACTGCTCGAGATTTATGTGTTTTTGCATCAATTGAAGGACAAAGCATGGTTACGAAATTCAGTCATTATTGCTGAATGAAAATTCAGATGTACTAGGTGAATCAGATTTGGCCACGTTTGAAGCCTTATCAAACTATTTCTGTGAAGTGTTGTTAAAAAACTTTTCATAACCAAACCATTGAGGTACTAGCCTTGTACATATGACTGAAGAACTTTTTATTCAATCGCTCACTAAACCCCTAACCTGGTAAGTGATTGGGTCCCGACGGATTACACCCAAGATTGTTATAATTCCTCACGAACCATTCACGTATCGTTTTCCTAGTCTGAACTCCTGAGGGATTGAAACCAACCGTACATTTAAACATGGCAAGATGAAAACATGTCTAACTCTCGAACTGTCACTCTGAACAACATTTTAGTTAAGTAACTTGAAAAATACTTCGAGCTACATTACTTGTTCATGTAGAACTATGCACTGTTAACTCAAGAGCAACTTGGGTTCCAAGATAATCATTCATGCTAAACTGAGTTGCTAATAGCGAGAGAACTATAGGCAGTAGCTCATGATAACAGGTTATATATCGACGAATATTCCTAAATTTCAGGAAAGCATTGGATAATTCTCCCTTAGGACTTTTAGTGAAATGCCTCTTCGAAGAGAACGCAATTGGTGAGGAGGAAATATTTATTACTGTACTCAATTATAACAATAATTGCTTTACTGTACTCCTTTTGTTTAACTGTACTAAAAACACTTACATGCAACCAAGAAATCACCAGCAAATATATTCTTTACTCTGGATTTACTAATGTTTACAGTGACGTGCTGGTTGTTAGTTTTTAATGGTGATCATTGTCAATCTCAACTTGATCACCACTAGAGACTTTTGCAGAAGCTCCCGGGCTTGCAAATAAAAACTGCAATACATGAGCGCGCAAAGAGCCTCCTCCGTGGTTGAAGACAGGTTGAAAGTAAATATTGTACACTGTCAGAATGGAAACTGGTCAGACGTAGTGTATCACAATGTCTCACCGTGAGTCCCCAACTGCTACTTACCTGCGTCAATAAATTGCGGAATCCGCTTTATTCGGTAACACTGTACGTTGCAGACAATCTCAAAGCTTTGAGACCAATAAGTACCCATTACGGTCGTCTTGATCGCCATTAATACATGTATTACGAAATGACAGACAAATTCCCCTACTCCTACTAACAGTAGTAGACTACGCTTTTGAGGTTCTACCCGTATCATTCAGAGTTTTCCTAAAATTTAAATACGGGTAATTATCTTCGTATATTTTAGTTCTCATTTAAAAGGAACTCAAACTTCCTGTATGATCGTGATTTCCTGCTTGTTCACGTACTAAAAGTTTGATAAATTTTTATTTCCCCAATTCATTAACATCCAAACACCTTGCCTGCTTACCAATTTATCGCTGTGCTCATTAATTTTTAACACTAATTTAACTCTTTTATCTCCAGCTCCCTATCCTTCCTATCTCCGAACTACCTATAAACTGACACATATCTTACAATTTATACCATTAGTTTGCTTAAAATCAATGTGGATATTTTATCCTACACACAAAAGGCTAAGTTGTCTGGTTTGCTTGTAACGTGGAGCTGGTAGAGAAAGTGTATTCCGACAAGGTGTATACAAAATAGAGCGTAGACTAAAAACCATGGTTTAAAACCTACCAATAAACGTAAGAGAGCCTAACACCACAAAAGGGGGAGGGTGGTGTACCTGACCAGCATTAATGACTGTGGGGCGATAACTTCAACGTACTCATGTCTGTGGGGTAGAACAGTTTGTTTGCTTACGACACCTTACGACATAACAGGATGTGACTAATCAGTGATATTGATGTTACTTTTCCTTGTTAATCACGTCTATGATTCATGTTAGTAATCTCGCACTGGTTTCACTCCCTACCAAGAAATCCTATTACAAGCTGATTTGGACAGTCAGGGTGAAAAAGTGCCTATTCACAACTCCTTGATCTACAGAGTTAAAAAAAAGCATCACATCACTGTGCCTACATTATTAAATTCTGTGAATCAACATTATTTCTGTCATTTTAGTTCTTTTAAATCCTCTCTATTCATAAGATTATTTGCCCATTCGTTTTCTTACTAGTGACTTGTTTTTAATGACCTACATAAGCACAGGTGAACAGTTAGTGTTGCAATACAGAAAAAGAAAGGTCTGAATAATCATACCTTTGTTTTATCAAAAAATATTATCTGCTGGGTCATGACTCCGCTTCAATCAAGAATGTTTTCTGTTCTGTTCCTCACCCCTTTCTCTTTATTTCTTTTTTATAGCAACTAATCATACTCATTAACTATTGCCCTGGATAATTGCAGAAGGCTTGGTTTCTTTACCCATGAGCTTGTTAATTTATTCTCTGACTAATCTTAACAAGATCTTTGCAGACCTAGATTTACCGTACATTAGTTCTCAGCCAGCCATGATTCGTCCCAACGTAACAACTGCAATTCGGGCCGACTATTATAGTGTACATTCCAGAGTCTGGAGCATTATGTATAATTTAAGGAGAAAAATTTCAACCATGTATAAGTAGTAAATATATATCGTTGAATATTTATGTGACTGAACAACCTTTTACAAAAAATATGTTAGCAACTTTAACATTTCGATCTTGCCTCTAAATTGGCAAGCTTCTTGTAACATAATGTTATTTGAGAATAAATTATTATTATATTTATTGTTATAAAGCTAACCTGGATGAATCAATTTGACTGTCCCATGGTTGGGGCTTGGAAACGAACGTTAAAAAGTGTGCTAGTGAGAAATAAACACGGGATTAGCTACCTGTATATTGTTTCAGGTAAAGTGCTATCACGCGCACAGTAAAAAACAACTTAGGAGTAATAGTATATCGCG